ATAGTCAAGGGATCAAAATGGGTAAAAACTCGTTTTTTGCACATATGGAGAATAGAGGGGCTAAGTTGGATGAGAGAAGAGGAAAAGGAAAAAATGCATCAAAACATATTTTTTTTGTTGGCCTCGTTAAAAAAAATCGCAATTTGCACACCAGCAATGCACGCGTCGAACATTTTTTTTTCTTCTTTTTTTCCTAATAGTCTTTTTTTTTTTTCTTTTTTTTTTTCCTTTTGTCTCCCCCTTTCTCCTATGTGACATGACAAAAACTTTTGAAAAATCACAATGGATAAGGATGCCCTTAACATTTTAAAATGAAGAAGACATCTAGGAGAGGGAGGGGTAGATAAAGTGAAATTATATAAAAGTAGGGGTCCAAGTGTTAGTAGCATAAAGCTGAGGGAGTGGAAGTGAAATTATCCCTTGTTGTGAAATGATGGGAAGATGAAGTAGTCTCTGTCTCTGAGATTTTCTATTCATGGTGGTGTGATACTATGGATGAGAAAAGCTTCATTCCTCTAAAAAAGTAAAGAAAGTTGGGAATGGATAATGATCTCGCTTTACTTTTTCCTCTTTGGGTAATTAAATGGATAATTCTATTTATTATTTATGAAAGCCATTTTACAAAAAATAAAAAATAAAAAAGAGTACAATTTTGATCTAAAGAAAATAAATTATTGCATATATTTTGCTTTGTTTTATGATTCAATTTCATACATTTTAAGTTCAGTGGTCCAATTATATACAAAACAGTATGTTTAGTGGTTTATTTAACACTTTTTTCTTAAAATTGACTAAAATTAACGATCGATATAAACATAATTTTTTTTTTTTTGAAAGTTACTGGCTCTATTACATTGTAGTATCTGTTCATATACTTTCTCAACCTACTGAAACACAAAGAACCAATAACGCCTCCACTGAGGCTTGAACTCATAATCTTCTAAATGGAAGTCCAACCCGGATACCATTAGACCACATAGTCCATAACTAAACCAAATACTTATGTATTTCATGGGTTTACCCATGAATTTTTCATTTTGATAAATTTAATAATTTTTTTCTACATCAGCAAAATTAATTATCAATATAATGGTATTAATTAATACTTGTCCATAACTATATAGTACAAAGACTATTGGCATTTAACTCTTTTTAATATTTGGTTACAGTCTTACCACCTAGACGTACTTTTCTAATAATATGATATTCTAATTAATTAATTCGTGATAAAGTTTGTTAATTCATGAATAATTAATAAATAAAAAATAGTTTTATTTTCTTTTAAATCTCGTCTGCAAGCAAACACGAATAATGTCCTAAAGTTAATTGAAACTCAATTCATATAATAAGAAAAAGTAAAAGAGAGTCGCACGTACTTAGTTTAATGGTTTAGTAGGTAGTATTTGAGAGAATAAAAAGGAAATGAAAGACTATTTTTTTTGGTGTCACGGAAATGAAGACTTTAATAACTAGTTATATATAAACTTGTTGATTGGGGCATGGTGGCTTGGTATGACCTAACGATGTTAACCTTTATCTAATAAAATTTAAAATAATAATAATAAAATATGTGAATACCACTTCACCTTTTCCTCCATGCCAATGTGTCACCAGGTTATCACCATGTGCTACTTATTCCCCCATGCTATTTTTTTTTTCACTTTAACAAATATATATACTTCATTCGTTTTATATTGTTGTCTCTTTGTCTTTTGACACAAAATTTTAGGATAATGTTTCTTAAAGAGTTCATAATAAGTTTTTGTTGGATATTCGTGTCTTATTTCTAACAAGAAAATGTAATCATGTGTATTTTCAAATTTTTCATATATTTACACATCTCGTTCTATATATGTTACGTAGTATAAATAGCGTGAGAATATAACAAATCTAGAGTAGAGATATTCTTATTTTTTAGTACAATATTATATAAATTTTCTTTTTAATTTTGTAAAAAACACTTTTCGAAATCACTCTCGATCTAGTTGCTTTAATTCACTAATAAATAATATAATATGATGTGAAATATGTATATATTTAAAATATAGACTATTGATTAACTAACATCACCATAAGTTAATTAGACAATGAGATGTCAAAAAGAAAGCTTCTTTTAACTTATCTCTAGATTTGGAGATGATGAAGGGGATTGTACACTTTCTTAAGATTGCAAATTGTTAAAATAAAATTCTAAAATCCTTTGGTGATGGAGGAGAGGTTGGCATCACCAAATTTAAAACTTTGAGCCATTATTGGTGTAGGATTTTATTTTACTTTTTAAAAAACCATATTTGTTACATCATGTGCCACATCAATGCCACACAAGCACCGTGTACAACTACCCTTACCAATTATAAATGAAAAGTAACTAACAAAATATGTAAATTGTACTTTTTGTTTACTGATTTAATGTATGTATTTAGATTTAAGAAAAAATAAAATCGAAAGGCTTAATTGCTATTTTGATCTTGTTTAGTAAATGACGAATTGGTCAAAATTTTGATGAATTAGTTACTTTTAACAACGGTTTGAGGCAACAAATTTGTTCTTTGTAATGTTTTGTGAAAACATTTGATGGACACTTAATTTTTAGAAGAGGGGCGTTGAGCTCCTCCCCGCTTCCCCTGAGTTTCCGATGTGAGATCATTTTGATCCCATATAATGTACAAAGGGGAGTCACAAATTGTTTTGTTTTTGTTTTTGTTTTTGCTATTATTATTATTATTATTATTATTATTATTATTATTATTATTATTATTATTATTATTATTATTATTATTATTATTCCTTTTGCAAGTACACAAACTACGCACCTTAAGCACACAAACAAAGTACCTTAAGAACACAAACCACGCACCTAAAGTTTTAAAATGATGCACCTTAAGTTTCAACAACTAACGCACCTTAAGCATACAAATCACGCACCTTAAGAAGGAAAACCACACACCTAAAGCTTTAGGTCGACGCACCTTAACTTTCAACAACTGACTCACCTTAAGCACACAAATCACGCACCTTAAGAAGGACAACTACGCACCTTAAGAAGGAAAACCACACACCTAAAGCTTTAGGCCGACGCACCTTAAGTTTCAACAACTAACTCACCTTAATCACACAAACCACGCACCTTAAGAAGGAAAAACCACGCACCTTAGCTTAAATTTGACCTAGATGCAAAAAGATCAAATTGTCACTGCGTTTTTTTGTAATCATTATTAATCCTGAACGTTGATTTAGGCAATATGAATGACTCAGATTTAACTGTCGCACGAGAGACACCCAACATCACGAGAACTGAATTTTATATACGTGTGTGTGGAGTTCAATTCTTACTATTAACAATAATTTTAAATTCGAATACAAAAGTACAAACACATTTAAGCTTACAAATATTTAAATAAACTTATGGTGGAGGATGTGTAGGGGTGCCGGGTTATACGGGTTGACCCGCGGGTTACATGTAGGCCATAAGGCCAACCTGTATAACATGGGTACCCCTTAGGGGCTAAACAGGATGGTCCGTTCAGATCGGATAGGAATATAAAAATATACAAGCCAACATGCCTAAACAAGGGCTAAACAGGCTCAACTCAGCGAATCGGGCCTGTTTTTATAGCTCTAAATGTGGGCACTCACTCTCAGTTTTCAAATTTAGTTCAGATGGTTCAGCTCGCCCGATAACCCGAAGTTTAGGGTTAGGGCCAAACCGAACCTGAAAATAAAATAAAAAAAACAATCGATAACCCAAACTGATAAGCCTGACAGCCCGACAGCCCGACAAGGCTAGCTCGAAACCGAGCGGGCTGGCCCGGCCCGATTGACATCCCTATGTGTGTGTGTGTAGAACTTTAATGATGTAAGAACAATTCGTCGGATAAAAAAATAATAGTACAATATTTGTAAAGTAATGTACAATTATACCATTATAAAAATGCAGACAAAAAATATAAATACCATAAAGACCTAAATTATTATTCCTAATAATGCAAATGTATACTTAAAATATCGAGTCTTGTTATAATTAATCAAATGAATATTAATTAAATGGAAAGGAATAACCTAGATTTTTGTGTTAAAAAAATACAAGAATATGATTTTCAAAGTTGCTTATTTGTAATTTTTGATGCTCAATTTTGAATGCTATGTATATTGTCTGGCTAATTAATTGATCAAATATCACGAATTCATTTTATATTGTATTATTTTAATACACTCTAATATATTCATAGTATATGTTCAACAATTATGCCAACTACAATTGGGCTGAGGTTCGAACCTAAGACCTTCGTTATGGAAATCAATAAGTAAGTTACTAAGTTAAGAATAATAAATAGTTAACGAAATATTCTTTACTAAAGTTTACACTAACGGAATGCAGCGGTATTTAGAAAAAGTAAATGTTGTAATAGAGGGTAAAATAAATAAAAAAAAACTAAAATCAAAATAATATGAAACCATTAATTCCAACAAATAATTGGACTTTAATTTCTTTATAGGTCTAACTTGACTCTTTTTATATTAGTAGATAGAAATGTGCTAGTTTATTAAAATTGAAAGTTTAGAATACTAATTTGAAAATATAGAATTTTTAGTTGAGCCCGTTTGATAAACCTAATAACATGAGATTTTAGGGTTATGATAAAAACTTTTAAATCTGACAAAAAAATATCAATTAATGCAAACTAATAAACACGACAATGCGATAGAGCTAGTTCGAAACTGAACAGGGTGACCCGATTGAGGGAATTGACATCCTTAGAACTTAAAATTAGTCTAATCCTAAGATGGAAAATCTAATGTATATATATATAAAAGGAAAAGAAATCAGGTTAGCAAATGCAAGTAAAAGTATAGTTTGAAGTTGGTGTGGGGTGAGGGGTAGATTATTTATTTATTTATTTATTTATCCAGAGAGGTGGTGCCCCATTTACTAACAAGTAACAACCCAGAAGAAAACAATAGAGAAAGTGGTGAATGGTGGTGGTGGAGGAGGAGAGAGAGAGAGAGAGAGAGAGAGAGAGAGAGAGAGAGAGAGAGGTGGAAAATCAGACATTCGTAGTGTTTGACTGTTCGTCTTGCATGTGAGCACCGGATGATGGCTTTGTTGTGAGAAAAGGGTTATAGTTTGTTTGTAGTTTTCAGGTGAATAGATAGATAGAATTACACCCCTCTCGGAGACTTAAAAGCATCAAATCCAAGAACCAAATAGGAGTTTCTGTCAAAGGAGATATGATGGATCCATCTCAGTAGAAGCAAAAGGTCTCTCTCTCCCTCTCTCTCTCTTTCTCCCCTCCCACCTATCTAGTTGCCTTCTCCCTTTCCCGATAAATGAAAACCCCCCCAAAACGCATAATCTTTAATCACTTCTTTCTGTATATTATTTGGATATCACACTACTTTTAGCTCAACCCATCCGTAATCTTGAATCACTAGTTTCTGTTTCTTAAATTTTAGATTCTGTTTTTAGCTGTTTTGTTAGATACGGTAAGAGTTTGTTCCAAGTTCTCTTCCCAGTCCTTTTACTTTAACTCAAAGGGTCTTCTTCTTTATTTGGGGGTAACTTGTAAGATATTCCTTTTTTCTTTTGGGAGTGTTTATTAGTACTGGGATTTTTGAGTACAGATTCTGATAGAATACCAGTTTTAATTTCATACCCGGATTTTATTTACTTCTTTTTATGGGATAAGCAACTCTTACTTGCTTTTTATTAGTTTTGACTGCCATGATTAAGGTATTCTTTACTGGTTGCTATAATATGTTGAATTGGTATTTTGATTTCCATTTTCACTATGTTATTGTGAAATAGTTTTGGTTTTTGCTGTTTACTGTCTGTGTGATGAATAAACCCACTTTTGTTTCCACTATTCTGCTTTTAGGATATTTTATTCACTGTATTTGCTTGTTGCTGCTAAACTCAATCCTGTTCAATTTGGGGGAAAATTTTCAAATTTTGAACTGTAATTTGTTCAATCCTGTTGAGGGTATTTTTTATTTTTTTTTATTAGTAATTTTGGGATCCAGAAATGCTGTTGTATGTATTTCCACATGTTTAATTATGATAGGATGTATGAAGTAGGAGATAGAATCAATTTGTGAGGGATGCTTAGAAATTCATGTGGTAGGTTCATAATTGATACTTTGCCACGTTTTCCCTTTGTGTGGATGTGTATAGATTGAATCATAGATGATAGCTACCGATACCTGCATTCTCACGTTTTTCTTCCTCTTTGAATCCAAGGTGTGGTATTGATGCTGTGAAGCAAAACCTTTAGTTAGTTAATGCACTTTTGCCTTTTTTAGTGGCAGAGTATCTAGGTTAGATTACTGGATAGTGGGATTCCTGGGAAGATATTGTCATTTCCTATACTATGAGGTGCCGTACTTCTACTTGATGCCATATTCACTCTAACTCCTTCTGGGGTTTACATTACATTTCTCTCTGCATTAGAGCATAAAAGCGGAAATTCATCAACTAGTCTGGCTACTCAACCTAATTTCTTCTCTCCTATAAGTCAAAGCTTGTGTTTTAACTTTCAAGAAAACAAAGTTTTCCCTTTCTTATTTGATAAATGAATGAAGAATTGTTGATCGAAGGAATCCATCCTTGGCCTTGGGTATGGAGCAGCCTTAAATCTCCAGGCCAGCTGTCTTACACTTTAGAGGTGCCTACAATTCAGTGAGGGGATTAGTCACTGTGTCTGGTGGTGGATACCCCGGGTTACACCAAAAGAAAACAAATTGTTGATCAAAGAGTAAACTTCTAGAAATGCATCTTAGTCAGGGAGGTATAAGATACCCTGCGATCAAAGTCATCTGCTGTGTCTATCAATAACTTACGTGTCTCGTGTCTAATATGTTGATTTGTTGGGTGCATATTTTAGATGAAATAATGAATTAGTTATTTAGTTATCAGCTCAAGTCAGAATGTTACTTTTTTTTTTTTTTTGCCAATGCTATTAAATTCCTTAAGAATATATGTGCATAGTTAAAGTATTCCTTTGTTCTAACTTCTAAGTTGCTTGGGTGGTGAGTGGTGCCTGGATTTGTTGTTTGACTTTGGTCATTAGCTTCAATCTTATTTACCCTACCCATATCATATGTTTTACTAAATAAATTAATATAGTTTTGGCTTCCGTTTAACCAGATGAAATACATTTAAGAGAGAACATCATACTCCGATCAAGACATCAAAAAAAAAAAAAAAAAAAAAAAAATCAGTCGAAATCAAATTTGGGCAGTCCTTCGGCTTCCTTGGGGTCTGTTTTAATTCCAAGAAAAAATTGATTGAAGTACTGGGAGAAGATGCTAAATTTCTCATTCTCCAAGAAAGAAGGTGATCAGACCGCTGCTCAGTCATTCACACCTATGTCTATAACTAGCTCTTCGCTGTGGAATTCCACTGATCAACCAGAAAATCCTCTTTCTGGGAGTGCAGATACTGGACAAAAATCTGCACCCCAACGTGGTTTCCACATGAAGCAAACAGAATCTCAACTTCAAGATCAGGATAACACTTCAACTCTATCAACTGGCCAATCTGATCATACAGTGGCTGCAATGACACCAAGCAATTGTCACATGCCAAAAGTTGGACCTCAACCTGGTGAGATATCCAACAATCTTAAAGATTCGTTCACATTTGATTGTTCTCGTAAATGGTCAATGACTTGGTTTTATAAAATTGTTGGTTTTACTCTGAAGAGAACCTCATGGGAAGGCTTCAGAGTTCAGTGATTTCTTCTATTTTCCCCTTCTTTTGCTCTTATGAAAAATAAAAAAGCAGTTTATCGTTTCAAGGAGGAAAGTAGGAAACTCTATTGCTGGTAGTTGTCTTGTTGAATTTCTATAGTTTTAGAGCAGTTATATGCTACCTTTCTCCCAGGCTATGCTGAAATCCATGAAAGGCAAATGAAGGATTGCTCTATAAAGCCATCTCAGCCACATTTAGATGAAGATTGCACCATTCATCAAGGACAATTGGATTTTAGCCAGTCCATGGTCAGTTCTATACCATTTTTTACCTTTCAATTTAGTATTATTCCTTATTTATTTCTTTCCCATAACTAAGATGATGCTACTGCATTTTGTATGAAGCCTATGGGCTGTTTTATGTAATGATTGCTTTGAGCCCTTAAATCTTGCAATTTGGTTGCCACTTTTCTCCCATCCCCGCCAAATGAATATAACAATTTGCAGACTATATACCTAGATATATGTTTTAGTGCCTTCGCTGTCATTGTCTTTCTTTATCATTTTATTTTATTTTTATTGTTCCCAAAAGGTTGAATCCCCAAACCCGACCCGACATAGCATCTGGGAGGATGTAAATCATGGTAACTCAGATGAACACAAAGGCTAGACCTTTGCTTACTGCACACAAGGAGCCCCCCTCATTTTGAGAGGTTGCTCCCACACGGCCGCTGGTGAGACTCGAACCTGGGTCATTGTTCCCAAACTTCACCCCTATGACCAACTGAGCTGCCCATGCGGGCTTATTTTATTTTTATTATGAGTAGCCTTTGGAGCCATCTATTCAGGCAGGTGACTGAAATTAAGTTGACAATATCAATGAGTCTTAATACTAATTCCCAACCCCTAACATTTTATTTTTTTTTTGGGTCTGAATCTCATGGTTCGATTTTCTTTCCAGGGTTGCCTATCTTGGACTGAACCATATCTTGGGAGGCTGGTAGCTACTTATGGACCAAATGGTATTGTAAGTGACATAGACTGGATGCTTGTTTTGTGTACTGGGGTTGGCTAGTTCTCTTTGTCTATATATTTATACTTTGGACCAAATGTTCTTGACTAGATTGTCGTATTTCTGAAATTCGAACAGATTTATCCTCAAATGGTTGGAATTGTACCTGCAAGAATGCCACTTCCTTCTGAATGCGCAGAAAGCATACCTATTTATGTTAATGCGAAACAATATCGTGCAATTCTGAGACGGCGAGAAATCCGTGCTAAGCTTGAGGCGGAGAACAAAGTTGTCAAAGTGAGGAAGGTATTTGCATTTCTGATCCCTACAATGTAGCAATCATTTGAATGAAGGGTTCTATCAGTTGTTCTTAAGTCCACCTTTTCATTATGTAGGCATATCTTCACGAGTCTCGACATGTTCATGCATTGAAGAGAGCAAGGGGTTCTGGAGGCCGTTTTCTGAACAAAAACGAACTACAGCAACTCAAATCTGCTGCATCTCCGACCCACGGGAAAACTAATACCTCTAACCAAAAGGGCGGTGGAGACATATCTGCAGGGTCTCAACTTCAGCATTCAGAAAGCGGGAGTTGGGGGACTTCTTCTTCTACCCCATCCGGCTCTGATGTCACAAGCATCTTTAGCGGTGATGGCATTTTCCAGCAGCCGGAGTTTAGAGTCTCCCGCTCTCCTTATCACATGGGCGTTTCTATGCATGAGGCCGAAAACTTTGTGCGTAGAAGAACCTGAGAACCATGTTCTACTGTCCATGATAGATGCACGACGATAATGTTATGGTCTATGAATGGATAGTCGGCAGTTCATCCCTGGCTATGTTACTACCAACAGTTTAGTTTCCTCAGTATTGAAATGACTAACACAGAGTTCGTTCCTCGTGGTCTTTGCAACTTTATTTTTCGTCACTGAATAAAGTGGAAAACACAAGTTTGATGTGTGTTAAGATTATGCATCCCTGTACTTGTTGACAAGAAGAATATGAACACTGTCATTCTACAATCTTTGCTCTAAAAGCAAAGAGAAAGGATTATTAGGTGATTATCTTGATGATGTTTCTGTGACAGAATTCTTTATGTTCTTGTTGCTGTTTTCCTTTCACTTTATATTGGAATTGTGCATCCAACTTTGCTGGGTGGCTATCCTGTTTACTACTGTTTCATTTGACAATATACACATATGTAACGTAGTATCTCATTGGTTTATAGTAATGGTGAAAAAAAAGGTACCTTATTGGACCATGGTCCACCTTATAACAACCAAAGAGAATTTGATTATGAAGTACATAATAAACTATTCTAATACAACTAGCTAAATAACACAAATACATACTCAATTAGAAGATATATATTTGTCTCAATTCTTGAATTTCTTCATGTGACATATATCTCGTTACAAGAGTCTATATCCATAGAACGACTTGAATTCATCTTTGGCTTTCTCTTCAATGCTCTGAACACCCATTTTAGCATCTTGACTGTGATCTGAATTGTGTGCCCTAACACAAGAATCACGGCAAGCCCTGCAAACAAACACTCCCCAATTTTGTACAAGTTAAGTCCTATATTCATGTTATTCCTGTCCGGAGTAATCATGTTTATGCAGAGGAAATAACTAAACCCCATCCCAGTGATGGCCACCCACATTATGATCATCATGATGTACATAAACAACTTCCGGTTTAGCGGTAAACCGCTTATCAACAGCAGTATGATACTGAGAGATGCAAGAAAGCTGGTGGTGTTGGCCACCAGGAACAAACTATAAACCGGCGGCTTGTAATAAGACATCACGGATTTCCCAATTCTAGCATTTATCAGTGTGCCGTCGTTTATACTAGACGGTGCAGGGGCGACAAAGGAATCGGAGTTTCTTGTAATAGAAAAGAAACCATTTAAGTCCGGAGTTTCGATATCTGACTCTCTTATAACTGTGTCGTTGGTTTGCAATAAACCGCCAGGAGGGCTGATAACTGCCTGGAACGCCATTGTTGCGAGCAAAGAAGCCGCCACCATTATTGCGTCTCGCATTTTTTGAACCCAGTGCTCTTTCGCATTTGGCGGCTTATTGGTATTATTATTATTTGGCTTTTTTCTTTTGTTTTTCTTCTTGTTTCTGGACTGTTGGCTCTGGGGGCTTTGAATTTGTCCGTCGTTGTTTATGTGCTGCTGCGATGCTTGTTTAGGTCCCTGCTTGTGCATAAGAAGTTGTGCAGTAATGTCGTCCATAGGTGTTAACCCAATCAAGTCTTGATGAGCATCCACTTCTATTGTAGTATGCTTCACCAAATACTTCACAGTCTGCATATATGCAACCCATGCTCTCTTGGTAAGTTACGTATCCTAGTAGCAATATTATATTCATCATCAATACTATGTTACCTTAAAGGCATGCAAGTCCTAGCTTATGACTCTATTTGATAGAGCTTATAGCTTATTTTAAGTTATTAATAAGCTATAAGCTCTGTTTGGTAATGTCTCCTCAAATCACGCACTTAAAGTTTTAAAATGGCGCACCTTAAGTTTCAACAACTGACGCACCTTAAGAATACAAATCACGCACCTTAAGCTTTAGGCCGATGCACCTTAAGTACACAAATCACGCACCTTAAAACACAAATTAGACACCTAAATTTTTAAAATGGCGCACCTTAAGTTTCAACAACTGACGTACATACCTTAAGCATATAAATCACACACCTTAAGAAGGAAAACCACGCACCTAAAGCTTTAGGTCGACGTACCTTAAATTTCAACACTGACGCACCTTAAGCACACAAATCACGCACCTTAAAATTGACCTAGATGCAAAAATTACCAAATTGTCACCGTATTTTTTATTTATTTATAATTTTGTTAATCCAGGACGTTGATTTAGGCAAGATCAATGACTCAGATTTAACCGCACAACCGGACGGGAATTGAATTCTATATATATATATATATATATATATATATATATATATATATATATATACACTAATAACAACCAAAGAGAGTTAGGCCTATAATGGGTAGAAAAAATGACGGGTTAAATTTTGTAATCAAATGAATGATTGAGATTGATCAGATTTTAATTTTTCATTGAGATTTCCTAATTTATCCTTAATTATATGATTATCTGTTGACTTTTGCATTAAATATTATATTTTCCGTTAATTCTGTTAGTTCACCCTTAACTTACTCATTGATTTCAATAAGAAAAGTTTTAAATTCGAACCCTATCCCAATCAAAGTTGGCATAATTAGTACTCTAATTTACTCTTATTAGTAAAAAAAAAAAAACAACTACCATGCACGACGCCGACTTGAAAGTTTAGAGACAACGACGTGAATGTTAATCGTGGCCCCCTCTCTAGGACGTGCCTATGAGAGTGTCTCCCTAGACATCTATGGTATATATATATATATATATATATATATATATATATATATATATATTTGAAAGGCATCTAGGGTATATATTGTTTAAGCTTTTCCGTTGGAAAATCCAACGCACTTTCATTTGTTGTTTTTCGTATACCTGCTATCGATCCAATTGCCAAGGATCGGAGTATCATGGACGTCCGTCAGCTTGAGGAACGATGCGCTGATCTGACACTGGTCGAGGAAGAAACCGGCGGCCTGGAGGCACCCGATCTCTAGTCTACCGGACACGTCGATCCACCATAACCTGATCGGGAGATTCCTTACTGATCGACCAATCAAATTTGAATGCATGCAACATGTCATGACATCTGTCTAGAGACCGGTGATGGGCATGCATGTGGCATCCTTAGCCGACGATATGTTTCTGTTTCAATTTCCCCACCCTAAAGATATGCAGTGGGTTTTGGACGACGGACCATGGTCGTTCGAGAATCACATGTTGATATGCGACCAGGTGTCCTCAGAGATGAGACCAGAGGATGTCGATCTGACCGCCGTCAATCTCTGGGGTCAAATCCATGGACTGCCGGTGACATATGCATCATCGGAATTCATTATGCGGATCTGAAACTACGTGGGCACCTTTGTAGCAGACGATCAGATGAATTTCGGAGGATCTTGGAGGAGTTATTACCGGATTCGGGCGAAGATGATGGTCACAGAGCCTCTAACGAGACGATTGAAATTGATCTGCAAGTAGGGGTGGAAATGGGCCGAGCCGAGCCGAGCTTTGAAAAATTAGGCCTGGGCCTGTTACGAAAATATAAGGCCTAGACCCGGGCCTGAGCCTGTATGTAGGCTTTTTGTTAGGCTCAAGCCTGAGCCTGCAAATAGCCTGGCCTGGCCTGAAGCCTCCTTAAAAGCCTGTTTAATATTTAGGTCATTAAAAATGTTTCAAAGCAAGTCCTACCTTGAGTCTATTAAAGCCTACATGTTAAAGACTTTTTAAAAACTTTAGTATATTTAAATAATATAAGAAATGTACCTAATACAAAATAATACATAATTACACAAGTATATCATCACCCCAATGCAAACATAATAGCAAATAAATATAAAATAAAACAAAACAAGTCACGACTTCAGCATGCTCGTTAACTTGTTTAGAAATAAATTCAATTGTATTATTGTTTGTTATCCTATATAATATTGTAAATAATTAATAATCAACTCACATAATTAAGTTGTGACATTTCATTAAATATTATGATAGTAAGAACAGTTAATAAAAAAAAATTACACAATAAGAACACTCATAGCAGGATTAACAACAATGTTTATAGTTGAGTCATAATTTATAATGAAATTTTGGAAGTGCAGGGTTAGGGTTTGGTAATTATATATACTTGGGGTTATATTCTAAATAATATATATTTATATATAGGCCAGGCCTGTAGGCCTGAAGGCCGAGCTTGGTATATATAGGCTTGGCCTGTTTAGTTTAATAGGCTTTGAAATTGGCTCAAGCCTGGCCTTTTTACTAAACGAGCTAGGCCTAACTAGGCTTTAATTAGGCCTGGACTTAGCCCCTAGAAGGGGCCTGGCCTATTCCCACCCCTATCTGCAAGGATGGCGACTCGAAGTGGATCACGTTTCGTTATGAAAGACTCACCACCTTTTGTTTCTGCTGCGGTTTGATAGGTCACTCCGACAAGTTCTGCAAAAAGGCGTACGAGGAGGGTATTTTACCAGAAGCTTTTCCCTTTGGGAACTGGATGAGAGCAGGTCCCAAACGACAGGTAAAACCGGTGGGGACTAAATGGTTACTACCATCCGTCACGCACTCGTCAACGATGGTTGCGAATCCTAACAGTGGACTATCACCGCTGGCTATGGTGACGATGGAGGAAAATGCGGGTTTACATGGGGACCTGAAACGACGACGCGAGGAAGAAGGGACATCTAGGGGTACACAAGAAGAGGATGTGATGATGGATGATACTACAAAAAACATGATGACGACGGCTCTGGTTGGCCAGGCTCGCCAGGCCAAATGAGTATACTAAGTTGGAACTGCCGGGGTTTGGGTGGCACCCGGACAGTTCGTGAACTCTTGGGCATAATGTCCAAGCAACCACCCTTTTTTGTCTTCTTAATGGAGATGAAAGCGAATGAAAATTTAGTGGAACAAGTGCGAGTGAAGATGTGATTTGAGGGAGTAGTTTGTGTGGAACGTGAGGGCATAAGAGGCGGCCTGGCGTTATTTTGGAGGGATATAGAAGCGGCCTCGTTACTGAGCTATTCCACAAATCATATCGACATGGAAATCACAATTCCAGATAAACCAGCATGGAGACTCACTTGTTTCTACGGAAACCCGAAGAGATCGAGGAGACATATTACATGGGACCTTCTGCGCAAACTCAGGGATAAATCATCCCTCACGTGGGTTGTTATAGGCGACTTTAGCGACATTGCATGTTTATCCTAGAAGAGGGGCACACACTCACACCCGGAAGCTCTCATCGAAGGTTTTAATGATACTCTTAATGATTGTCAACTGAGTGAGTTGGGGATGACGTGAGGCAAATTCACATGGGAACGGAGCCATGGGACAGACGCGTGGGTAGAAGAACAATTGGATCGCGCAGTGGCATCCACAGATTGGATGGAATTATATGAGGAGGCTATGGTACGCAATATATACACTCTATCGTCTGATCATAGCGCCATATTTCTTGATTTGGAGTGCAGACCAGTACGGGCAGTTATGCGGTCGTTTAAATTTGAATCTGGTTGGTTACTTGAAGAGGGCTATGCAAAAGTAGTGGAGGAGGCATGTCATCAGTCTATGGGCTTGACTTTCCAACAACGCATAGCTATTTGCGGACAACGACTAGGGAAATGGGGAGGAGAACATGTTCGCCGATTTGGTAATCGTATAAAGGTGATGAGACATAAATTAAGCAGTCTAAAAGATGACAGATCAACGCAGGCTGTTCAGGAGTTCATAGCAGCTGAGAAAGAATTAGAGGGCTTGATGAGGCAGGAGGAACTCTTCTGGAAGTAACGATCCAAACAACTATGGCTGCGACTTGGTGATTCAAATACAAAATATTTTCATAAAACCGCCACAGCTCGTCGTAGGCGAAACCTGTTGTTACATGTGTGAGACCATGAATGGGAGTGGAAGGAAGGAACGACAATGCACGATGAAATTCTAAGGTATTTTAATCACATATTTTGTTCTGGGGATACCTCCTCTAATCTCTTTGATTTTGTTAAACGGCTAGTAACAGAAGAGACGAATAACTCCCTGTTACAACCGTTTACGGTCTCAGAGGTTAAAGCGGCCTTATTTTTGATGGCCCCGGAAAAAGCACTGAGACCAGATGACATGTCTCTGGCTGTCTACCAACACTTTTGGTCTGTCTTAGGCCATGACATATCTATGTTTGTTCTTAATTGTGTGGAAATTCGAAGTTCCCGCAGGACTCAATGAGTCGAATATTATTCTGTTACCAAAAAAGAAAGTCCCGAAAAAGGTGACTGACCTACGGCTGATAACACTGTGTAATGTGGTTTACAAAGTGATAGCCAAAATGTTGGCTAACAGATTGAAGGGGATTTTAGGTCATATTGTGTCCCAATCTCAAAGTGTTTTCGTACCCGAGAGATTGTTAACTGATAATATAATAGCAGCAGGGGAAATTGGCCATTTTTTGAGAAGGAAAACATGTGGGGCTGTGGGGTGGGCGGCACTGAAGCTAGATATGGCTAAGGCATACGACAGGATGGAGTGGTTCTTTCTGGAGGGTATGTTTTTGGCACTAGGCTTTCAACGAGATTGGGTGGACTTGTTGATGTTATGTGTCTCTTCGGTTAACTATTCGATTCTAGTTAACAGGGAGACGGTGGGCATGGTGTGTCCC